GTCGGGATCCGACACTCTTACGTTATCTGTCACGTGCCAAGCTTAGCGGAAGAGCAGTCACTGACAGCTTGACAACCGCTCGACCGAGAACGCCTTTGGGACTGTCTTCTTCTGGTTTCTGGCGGAGGAGGGAGGGAGGGAGGGGGAAGGGGGGAAGGGGGGAGGGAGGGAGGGAGGAGAGAAGGAGGAGAGAGGAGGGAGGAAGGGAGGGAGGGAGTGAGGAAAGAGGAGGGAGGGAGGAAAAGGAGGAGAGAGAGAGAGAGAGAGAGACAGAGAGAGAGTGAGAGAGAGAGAGAGAGAAGAGAGAGAGAGAGAGAGAGAGGAGAGAGAGAGAGAGAGAGAGAGAGTGAAGTGAAGAGAGAGAGAGAGAGAGAGAGAGAGAGAGAGAGAGAGAGAGAGAGAGAGAGAGAGAGAGAGAGAGAGAGAGAGAGAGAGAGAGAGAGAGAGAGAGAGAGAGAGAGAGAGAGAGAGAGAGAGAGAGAGAGAAGAGAGAAGAGAGAGAGAGAGAGAGAAGAGAGAAGAGAGAAAGAAAGAGAGATAGAAAGAAGAGAGAAAGAAAGAGAGATAGAGAGAAGAGAGAAAGAAAGAGAGAGAGAGAGAAGAGGAAGAGAGAAGAAGAGAGATTTTGGCGGTCTTGGCGTTACAGAAGAAACCTTGAAAGTGTGTTTACGAAATGTATGTCATGTTAGATATATATGTATATATATATTTCTTTTATTATTTGGAGTTTGATTTCATTGCTTTCGGGAGAGAGGAAGGCAAACAATATTTTTAAAGAGGAAGATAGAAACATAAAGACGCACTCTGAGGCAGATAAAAACGGAAAGAAAAACATACACACTAAGTATGTGAAGCAAGAGAGAGAGAGAGAGAGAGAGAGAGAGAGAGAGAGAGAGAGAGAGAGAGAGAGAGAGAGAGAGAGAGAGAGAGAGAGAGAGAGAGAGAGAGAGAGAGAGAGAGAGAGAGAGAGCGCTTTTGTTTTAGAAAGCTAGACTCAAACATTGATAAAGAGAAAGCGAGTAAAATTATCAGGGGAGAAGATGAATAACAATTATAAGAGAAATAGTTCATCTATAACATCCGTTAACTAGAAGAAACCATGAATATCAACAACAACAATAACAACAAAAACCTTTATACAAAGTTTCCCCACAAAATATCATCCACCAACGCAAATATCAAAGAAAATAAAGTAAACTAATAAATTCAAGAACGACAAGATAAAAAACAAACAAACACGATAAGCCTAAAAAGTCTTCACAAAACCCGCGAAGGAACCAGCCGTCCGCCCACCCGCTCAAACACCACCGACCAATCAGAGCCATCGGTCAAAATCCCAGCCCAGCCAATCAGAGCGGCTCGCGCGTCAGGGTCGTTATAACCGTCGGTCACCCGTGTGACGTCAGAAAACCGTCTGTTTTAACGTTAGCGAGTGAGAAAATTGGGTAAGGAATAAAGAATAGACGTAGGGGAAAGATGGAGATAAGAGAGAAGAGTTAACGAGAGGTAAGGAGAAGATAGATAACCAGTAGAAGCGAAAGGGAGGCTGAAACAATATCAAGAGGTGTTTAACTCAGTCATGGAGGCGGGGAGACAAACGACAGGGTGGGGGGGAGGGGGGGCGATGAGCGGTTTAGGCCCGTGATTGAGGTTTTAGGTAAGGCAACACCCCTTTTGGAGATAAAGCGACAGATGGGGAATGGAATGTGGAAAGACAGAGATATCTTGAACAGATTTTTGAAAGTTTGTTTACATCATAGTGAACGGACTTTTTTGAAATTCAATATTCAATGGCTTACGGGTTTTTTTATAAAAGATAATCAATTTCACCGGAAGGAAAACAAATTAACGGATAGATATACTGAAAACATATCTTCTGTTGCAGGAAGATATTGAATAATTGATCAGATAGTTTGGAAGGAGAGAGAGAGAATTGTAAATCGTTTCGTAAAACCGAAAAAAATAGAAACCTCTTCATTTGTCAACTTACTGTCGACCAGACGGTCATCTTACGCAAAATGAAAAGTGAGGAAAGCGTTTACAAATTTTCTTTATGGATGTATTTCCTTATTTATTGTTATTTTTCTCGGAACAGTGGAATGCTGTGCAACCTATGATTAATGCGTGAATTATTAATGTGTTTTTTTCCCCTTTCGTCATTCTACCATTTTGTTCTGTTAGATGTAGTTTCACTTGACTTTTCATTTCTGGCAATTAAAATAATCATGAAAAGGTGGGTTTTGGCAAGAATTAAGAGCGTAGAATTGCTAATTGATTACTTTTATGATTATCGCCAATGGTACTAATTATAATTACGATTTTATTTCAAATATTTCAGACTCTCTTTGCTGAAATACATCTAATTACATTTTCGTATTGAATTCACCCTATGTGATACTATTGATAAACTTACTGTGAATATATCAAGTAAGATAATATTCACTATATCATTGAAAGAAATTATCATAAACCTTATGACTAATATCATTTTTTTTCCACAGATGTCGGGTTTAATTCCAGCGATGGTGATGGCAACACTGGTCACTCTGCCCAGCTTGAGTTCGGGTGAGTCTTGGCGCTCGTATTGGCGCTCGTATTGGCGCTCGTATTGGCGCTCGTATTTCCACCTCATTCCCATATTATGATTCTTTTAGAATTCTTATTCTCGTGTATGGTATTGTCGATGACGTCATCAAAAAAAGGGTTTTTTTTTCGGGGGGGGGGGGATGTCAGTCTAAAAGCGCGTATCCTTGAAATAAATGTACATTTCATTGTATAATTTTGGGGTTTGAAACTGACAGTGAAAAATAGGAATGTTTTTAGCCATTGATCTTAAACTAAACCTTGATGTACAGGAGACCCACTGGAGTTTTTTTTTTACTTTCTCTTTTTTTTTAAACTGAAATACTGATAGTGCGTATCCTTGAAAGTAGGCTAAAGTGTACACTTTCCAGAACAGTATTGGCAGTGATAAATAGTACTCTTTGTGACTTTTTTTTCCTCTGATTTCTTCACTTTGCGATTTTCTTTTTTCTTTTTTTTTCTTTTACTATTCCTATTTTAAAAAATCTTTATTTTCCTTTTTTTATTTTTGAGGGTTTATTTGATTTTTTAGGAATTTGGTGTTTTATTGTTTTCCTTAGTTTTTTTCACATTCTCATCGCCTTCTCGCAGTTTATATTCTTATATTGGTTCCTAAATATTTTTCTCTATAGTCTCCATTTCTCCGATTTCTTGATATCTCATTTTCCTCTTGAAATCCTCCATCTTTTTCCTCAAATCCCGTTTTCTTTCTCCTCTCTTCTCGCTGTCTCGCACCTCATTTCCCTCTCCCTTCACCGCCCCCTCCCCCTTCCTCCTTCTCTCTCCCTCCTTTGCGCATTTAAGTAGAGCGTTTCCAGTTTCTAGAATCAAGACTCTATGTAGCGAAGGGGGGATGGGAGGGGAGGGGAGGGGGAGGGGGAGGTGAAGGGGAAGGGGAAAGGGAGGAGAGGGTAGGGAGGGGGGCGGGTGAAGGGGAAGGTAGGGGAGGGGGAAGTAAAGGTGAAAGAGAAGAGAGGTGAAGGGAAGGGGGAAAGGGAGGGGAGTGGGAGTGGGATAGGTAAATTGTCTGCTTTCACTGACCTGTCAATCATCCACTTCTACGCCTGTCAATCGGCTGCCATGCGACACTTGGTACATGATTTTTACGATACTATTTGCTCTCCTTTCAGATTCATCTTTATTGTATTTTGGACGATATTATTGTCTCTCGGATATGATTTCGGATGTTCAGTATGACTGGTTTGAAGTCATCAGATTTGGCGGGAAAAGTTATGATGAATTATGAAGGAATGTGTTAAGGAATCGTCGATTTTGCCTGACAACTTATCATAATCTTCCTCGTGTTTCTAATCTACAGTAGTCTATTAAATCTATTCTAACGCCTCTTTCTGTTCTTCATGGTGATGGTGCTTCCCTGACGACGCTATGGTGCATGGTTGATGGTGATATGGCACTATGGTTGCTCTAAAATGGTAATGGTATTATGGCGTCCGCGATGATCATTTTCCCCGGGGGACATGACAGCATCGGCTTCGGAGGCGGAAGAGGAGATGGGCTGGAAAATGAGTCCTCAGAAGGAAGCCCCTTTGCGAGGTTTCTCGACCGCGCCGACGACGCCTCCAGGCTCGGCTGAACACGGCGGCGACATGCGAAGCCTTGAACGCGCGGGTGACATCTCGGGACATCAGGAACCGACGTCGCTGTCGCCGTTGGAGGGGGAGGCCGTCGCGCCTGTGGTCGGGGACGCGGAAAGCTTGGATGAGGAAGGACGACCCGAAGGAGGTGAAGGCGGTGAAGACAAAGGGAGAGAAGGAGTAGGTGAAGAAGAAAAGGGAGGAATAGTAGAACGAATAGGCGGGGGAAGGGTTCGAACAACAGCAGGAGAAGGAGGAGATAAAGGCGGAGAAGAAGAAACTATTGGGGCAATGACAAAAGAGGGAAATTCGACCACAACGACGACGGCGACAAAGACACCAACAAACACAATAACAAACACAACAACAAAGACACCAACAACCTCAACAACACCACCGCCGCCCTCCGCCCCCCAACAGCCGCCCAAGAACCACAACGAGAGGGCCGTAAGGTTAGACGAAGAAGGCGAAGTTCCCGGGATTCCCAAGGACTTCTCGGCGTTCCGGGCGGTCTCCCCTCGCCTGGAGTACCTGCAGGAGGCCCGCCAGAGCCAGGGGCAAACAGAACCCGAGGTCGTGGACATGTTCCCTTGGGAGGATGCTCAGGAAGACGAAGACCTCTCGGCCGCTGGCAGGATGTTCCTTCGCTGGGGTAAGATGGCTGCCTCGGCGCGCGCGGCCCTTGGGAATTTTGGCTTTCGGTTCACCCCGCCCGGTGGCATGGGGGTAGCGTAGTGAAGATGAAAATGATGATAAACATGATGATGATGATAGTTATGACAAGATAAATAATAGTGATTATGATAAATACAACGATAATAATAATGACAGCTATCATTATTATCATTATTGCTATCATTATTGTTGTTTTTGTTATTGTTGTTATTATTATTAATAGTAACAGTAGTTGGAATAGCAGTAGCAGTACTATCATTCTTATTGTTATCATCTTATTATCATTATTGATAGCCTTATCATCATTCTTTCACAAAAGAAAATAAGATTATTACCTTGCTTGTGTCAGCCATTGAAATAGAATACCTTTCCCTTTTTTATATTTCAAAACGAAAGCAAAATTCACTGAGCTAAACAAGATTGAAAAAAAGCCAAAAGAAGTTGCATGGATTCTAAAAAAAAATGTTGCACTGCATGACTGACTTGCAATATACTTTCAAAGACCTTGGCCGTGTCTTGTTGTTGTTGTTCATTTTTGTTGTGCTTGCGATGGTGAGATTTCATTTGTTTGTTTGTTGTTGATTTTAAACTTTATTATCTTCGGCATGTCTGTTTGGGTACATCTCTATTTTATTTTTTTATCCGTCATAGTGTCCACTCTTCGTTTGTATCTGCCTTTATTTCCTTTCTTCAATTTCTTTCTCTTTCTCTCTTTCATCTGTCTGTCTGTCTGTCTGTCTCTCTCTCTCTCTCTCTCTCTCTCTCTCTCTCTCTCTCTCTCTCTCTCTCTCTCTCTCTCTCTCTCTCTCTCTCTCTCTCTCTCTCTCTCTTGATAATCTCTTCACATTAACTTATTTACTTTACTTTTATTCTTTATCTTCTCTTATTCAGTGCATATTGGTATAAGATTAACAAATAATTTACTATTTTTATTTTACCTTTTGGTTTTGCATGATACGTATGTTTTTTTTTCCTTTCCTCATTCATTTTACTTTGAATTTCATGTATCCTCTCGGGATTTCCCCCTTTCCACCATCAACAAAGAAATAAAAGAAAAAAGAAAAAAATCTAATTTCATTGTCTGACTAACGAATAGCCAGATCTTTATTCAAACCGCAGATCACGTGATATAAACACACTCTTAAAATCCTGGGCGTTGATTGGCGGAACGGGAAAAGGGCGGGACTTATCAAGCTCCTTTTTCAACCAATCAGCTCCGCCCACGTCCTCTTGAACACAAGGTCGTCATGTCGTCTGGACCAGATCATCAACCTGGATAAATTACGTTATAATTAAATTGTGAATATCGAATGCGTTATAAAAGAGTATGGAGAATTACCTCTTGAATAATTGATTAGGCGGAAGTTAAATAGATTGATATGTAGACGGATAAATGCAAAAAATGACGTATTTGAAAGTATAAACGAACTGATGACCAGAAAGAGGGAGAGTGAGGGAGGTTATGATATATTTCTTGATATTTTCCTCTTAAATTAACACATAGAAATTAGAGAAGAAGAAAAAAGATCAAAGGAGAATAAGAATTTGTGAATAAATAGAAGAAAAAAGAGAGAATAGAAAATAGATGTAAGTAAGAGAAGAGAAATATATGCATGGATATGAAAAACAATAAGAAAAAAAGAATTAGAAAAATAAAAAGAGAGTAAAGGAATAAAAACAATTATCGATTTCTCAGCCTTCTATCTCATCTTTTTTTCTCCTTATCTTTTTTGTGTTTTTATTTCTTTCTGTTCTCTACATATTTCTTGCGTTCTTAAAAAAAAGTTAATTTCGTTTCTTTTCTTCTGTTTTCATTGTTCTTTATTTTGTTATTTGCGTTTCCTTTGTTTCCCTTTTTATGTTTTTATTGTATTTTTTCGATGCACTTTTCTTTATTGGCGCATGTGAATATTTTAGATTTGAGAGAGAAATGCTTTTAATGGTAAGTATATCTTTGGTTATCTTGAGAATTTTATGATAGTAAGTTATATAATTTTGTATTTCTTGTACACATAAAGACAGATCTTTATGTCTCTGTCTGTCTGTCTGTCTGTCTCTCTCTCTCTCTCTCTCTCTCTCTCTCTCTCTCTCTCTCTCTTCTCTCTCTCTCTCTCTCTCTCTCTCTCTCTCTCTCTCTCTCTCTCTCTCTCTCTCTCTCTCTCTCTCTCTCTCTCTCTCTCTCTCTCTCTCTCTCTCTCTCTCTCTCTCTCTCTCTCTCTCTCTCTCCTCTCTCTCTCTCTCTCTCTCTCTCTCTCTCTCTCTCTCTCTCTCTCTCTCTCTCTCTCTTCTCTCTCTCTCTCTCTCTCTCTCTCTCTCTCTCTCTCTCTCTCTTCTTCCACACACACAAAGATACACACAGACACACGCACACACACACACACACACACACAAAACACACAACACACACACACACACACACACACACACACACACACACACACACACACACACACACACACACACACACACACACACACACACACACACACACACACACACATACACACACACACACACACACATACACATACACATACACACACACACCCACAGATTCTCATTTATACATATACATGCACGCATGTATTTGCATGCATAAATGACAACATTTTATACAATCCATTATCGCCATCATTTCCCTTCGACCTTTTCAGTTACTTTTCGCGCGTGTCTTCAGAATGTTCCAGATATTACCATAAACAGACCACATTTCAAATAACTAAATAAACATACTGGATCACTTCTGATTAATTATTGCTAATTATCCGGTCATTAAATCCACCGCCTCCTCATGACCGCGCCCTCATTAGAATGGCATGATTCTTAATTACCGACATAATCTTTAACTTCCTCATATCGCGGGAACAACTCATAAAATCTCATTTTTTCACAGCGATTACAAATAACTTACTGATATCTAATAATTCCTGAGGCGTAAAAAAAACTCACAATCTCCATTTTCATGAGTCTCCCCACCTCATAGTGATTCATAATCTTGATTCCCTTATGAATCCTCCAAACTCACAATTTCTTTTCCTCATGAGTACTTCGGCTCTTTGCAATCACCCCTTCCTCATTGATGCTCCTCGACTCACAATCATCGTTTCCATTACACAGTTCCTCCCTTCCTCACTACTTTCCTCACAACTCTTTGATCCCTCTCCTCGTCATTTCCCTACTTTCCTCACATCTAAGACATCCTTTTCCTCTCTTTGCACACAACAAACCCTTCCCTTTCCTCCTCATTTTCACAATTTCCTCAAAATTAAGCCATTCCTCTCCTCACTTTCCTCACAACAAACTCAGCCCCTCTCATCCTTTCCTCCCCCTCTCCACACTTTCCTCACAGCACACTCATATCCCCTCTCCCCCTCTAATCCACCTCCTCACACTTTCCTCACAGCAAACTCACCGCCCCCTCCTCCCCCCCAACACAACAAACATACCCTTTCTCCTCCTTCCCACAATTTCCTCACAACACTCCCCTCTCCCCCTCTCCCCTCCTTCCTCCACCTCTTCCAATCCACACTTTCCTCGTAACACTCCCTCTCCCTCTCTTCTCCTCCCTCCTCCCTAGCAAACCCATTCCTTCAAATTCTTCTCCTTCACCTGCTTCTCCTCCCTTTTCCCTTCTCTTCCTCTTCCTCCTCCCTCCTCCTTCCTCTCCTTCTTCTTTACACTTTCCTCCCCCTCTCTCCTCCTTTCTTTCCTCTTTCCTCCTTCCTTCCTTCCTTTTTCCCTCCTCCTCCTTCCCCTTCTTCCGTCTCCTCCTTTCTCTTCCTCCTCCTCCTTCCCCTCCAGTCCCCTTCTTTCACCTCCTCCACCCTTCCCCCTCCCTCTTTTTTCTCCCCTTCCCCTTCCTTTTCCCCTCCCCTTCCCCTTCCTCCTCCTCCTCCTTCCTCTCTCCTCCCCTTTCCCCCTCCCCCCTCTCTCCCTCCTCCTCCCCTTTCCCCCTCCCCCTCTCTCCTCCTCCTCCCCTCTTCTCCCTCCTCCTCCCCCTCCTTTTCCCCTCTCCTCCTCCTTCTTCTAATCCCTCTCCCCTTTCTCCTCCCCTCAGCCCAGTGCTTCGGCGGGACCATCACCATGGAGAAGACCGTAGGCGTGGACTTCAACGAGAACTCGCAGCCCCTCTTGGCCAAGCAGGACGCGGCCGTCACGAGCGAGTGCACGAGCATCTGCAAGGGCACGCCGGGTTGCAATGCCTTTACTATCGGTGAGAATCTTTCTGTGTTGCTGTTGTTGTTGTTGTTGTGATAATGGTAATGGTTATGATGATGATGATAACGATGTTGATGATAATGATAATGGTAATGGTGATGATAATGCTAATTATAATGATGATAACGATGTTGATGATAATGATAATGGTAATGGTGATGATAATGCTAATCATAATGATGATAACGATGGCAATGATAATGATAATGATAATGATGATGATAATGATTATAATGATGATAACGATATTAATGATAATGATAATGGTAATGAAGATAATGACAATGAGGATAGTAATGAAAATGATAATGATAATGATAATAAGAACTATTATTATCATTATCACCTCCGCCAAGGTTTTTGATTAGGTTAGTTTGTTTGTTCGATAGTTAGCAGGATAACTAAAAAGTTATGAACAGATTTCTATGAAAATCTTACTAGAGGTGCGCCTTAGCCCAAAATTCCGGAATTATTTAAATCACTGCATCAGTTGCCCCTTTTTGCTTGGCGGAGGTATGCGCTCTCTGAGTGCCTCTAGTTATTATTATCATTGTTAACAGTATCAATATCATTATTATTATTATGATTATTATTATCATCATCATCATCATTATTATTATTATTATTATTATTATTATTATTATTATTATTATTATTATTATTATTATTATTATTATTATTATTATTATTATTATTATTATTATCATTATTATTATTATTATTAATATTATTATTATTATTATTATTATTATTATTATTATTATTATTATTATTATTATTATTATTATTTATCATTATTATCTATTATTATTATTATATTATTATTATTATTATTATTATTATTATTATTATTATTATTATTACTATATTATGATACATATTATTACTATTACTATTACTATTATTACTATTACTATTATTATTACTAT